TGTGGTAGACTTGTTACTTTCCTTGGTAGATTTATTCAATGTTTGCAGGTCTTTACTACAACAAATCTACCAATCTTTGGTAAATCTACCATAATGATGGTAGACTTGTTTGGCTATATTGAGTTACGATAGACTTGTTTCTTAATATTGAATGACGATAGACTTGTTTAGATTCGGATAAGCGTACTGGTAGATTTAAAAAATAAGCGGCATGGTAGACTTGTTGTGGTAGGTGGTAGACTTACTTGTAGTAGTGGTAGATTTACAATATGTGGTAGACTTATTTGTAGTAGTGGTAGATTTATAATATGTGGTAGACTTATTTTATAGTAGTGGTWYACTTATTCAAAAAGGGTAAAATCGTAATTTACCGTTCATCTTCTCCACCAACCCAAAAGCTGTCAAACGACAACAATGGCGGCCAACAACTTTTTAGCTCGTTTTTACTGTATTTTAACTTGTTTTCAACTGGGTTTAGCTTAAAACTAGTAGATCTAACATCATATATCCTTTTTCAAATCAAAAATCAAAAGATTTTGAGTTTTTTTTTTCACCTTATGATTTTTAATCCGATTTTATCTCAATTCTGGTGCTTCCTCAGCCTCCACACCTCCGCCGCGCGCGCCTCCGGTGCTTTCGCAGCCTCCGCGGCCGCTTCAAACAAATTCTTCATATTTTTTTTTTAAAATCAAAATAGCATTTTTGTAATAACAAAACATAATATTGGTTTATATGTCTTTTAAACCCTTTCTTAATATTTTGATATTTTGTCAAGACTATTCTAATAATTAGTCGATTTGTCAAGTCTATTCTAATAATTAATCCTTATAATTATTTTTGTCCTTTTGAATGTGTCAAGTATTCGATTTTCTTATTCTTAGTTTTACACTTTTCCGTTGACATTTTTATTTTTATACTTTTTAAGTACCTAATATAGAATTAAACAATACATGGTGTGAATTATAGATGTTGATAGTACTGACTGAGTTTAGCACCCATCGTCAAGACCCGACGCATCCGAATCATTCGGAGCTCCGCTAAGAAAGTATACGGATTAGGCCCACGAAAATGAGTTTGGTCTAGAAAAGAGAGTTCGGCCCATGCCCATGACGTTCAACCGACCTAACACTTCAGAAGAAAAAGAAAATAATTGACATAAAGAATGGTAAATTACTTAGAATTAGGAAATTTTATATAACTTATTAGGTTTATTAGACCGACTCAAATATGTATAAATATGCAATGTATATCCTCTTCGTGAGGATTCACAACTTTTATCAATAAAAAACCTCTCACATATTCTCTTCATCGTTTCAATATTCTTGAGTTGTTATTTTTGGAAATCCTAGCCTCTTAAATTGTTTGGATTGGATCCGAATAGTTTACAATATCCATATTCACTAGATTTTTTTTTCTCAAAAAAAAATCCGGATTCACTAGATGTTAGAGTAATTTGGAATAATTATAAAGAAAAAAACACTCGAAGTACATAAGTAAGATTGCAACACAAGCATCAACAACTTGTTCTTATTACAAACTCATTATTCATAAGCGTGTTTGACCGATGACAATGAAGTAACGATCTTTAGGCAGAGACGATGTTGGTCACAGAGACCTTAACCACTTCAGCTTCAAAGATTATGGCATCATTCACCAAATATCCCTTTGATGCATCTTTTAATTCTGCAAACGTAATGATAGTGTTCACTCCCACACCATAATCGGGTCGGATCGGGTACCAAGCTGCAGCTGCATTCATTCCCCACAAAACAAACCAATTTATATCAGTTATTTATTTTCATTTACTAAATATAATTTTCCTCATGGATAAACAAATTACTTTTTTACTTGGTTAGTTTTTCTTACAATATATTTGTTTGTGGTTGGAGGTTCGTTGATTCTTTAACCGCAGATTAACTGCTCCCCAAGTGTTTGTAGCGACTGCATTTGGCTTAAAGCCTTGTGCGTAGAAGAAGATGGGAAGTGCATTTGATCTTCCTCCTCCGGTCCCTTTCGGGTTAAATCCTAATCTCCTGATTATACATTAACCAAAAAAACTATTATGACATTTGACCACTGCGGGATTCACATAACAGTTACAAACTTTGAGATTAATTTGGACAACGGTCTACAAATATCATGTTACTAAAAAATTTCAAATATAGAATATGATGAACTAGGAAATAAATACGAACCAGTATCGGTCTCCAACGAGAAAATCGTCAGAGTAGTAAAATTTATCTTCCAAAGTGGAGAAACGAAGTATCTTCCAGGTGAAAACATTGTCTGGAGGGTTTGATATAAATGTGACTTTCTCTTGTTGTTGAGCCGGGTTAACGATTAAGACCTCAGCACCAAAACCACAAATGTCGCCTTCGGTGTAACCTTCGTTCGTGTTGTAGAATGTTGAAAGAGGAATCGATTGTCCATATCCCCACTCTTTTTTCGCATTGTCGTATCGCTTCACTGTTCCATCTACAACCCACAATTTGGTAAAAGTTTCCAATCACAAGCAACTCGG